AGCCAAATTTGAATCCATTGCCACGTCTTACACTTGATGCCTATGGCATCAGTTTATAATAATAAAATAATAATCCTTGCATTTGATATAACACTTTTCACATCTTCTAGACGAGTCAAAGCGCTTCACAGAATATACTGTGAAGTGAATTGACTGCATATTTTGTGGGTGAAACGCGGCAGCCAATTGCGCACATCACAAACAGTCATGGATTGAGTGACCAATTTATTATTTTTTTCTTGAGAGATTATTATCAGGTATGTGGAGTAAGGAAATTTACCCAAGATTTCACACTGCCAGGAAGTTTGTGAAGGAGTCTCTCATTTGTACTTTAAATGTCTTTTGCAAATCAAGGTGCTTCTCACATCAATTTGAGATGTCACCTCCTCATAAAATTCTAAGAAGCTGATCAAACCAGATCTACCCCTTTCTGATCCCATGTTGGCTGTCGATTATTAGATTATTTTTATAAAAGTAATCTTCATTTTCTTTCTGATGATGAACTCCATACATTTTCCAATTACTGAAATTCACCTAATCTGTGAAATAGTAAGACACATGGGAATGAAATCTATTAGGTAGTTACCCGGCATGGTTCTGTCGCCTTTCCTGATTATAGGAATTACTTTTGCTTTCTTGCATTGTGTTTGGAACCTTAGCAATGATGATTGACTCCCACTACCTGCCTTGTCTCTCTAAATACTCATCCATTACCCATGGATGGATACCCATCACTCATCCATGAACGGGTCTTCCATTCCAGAAATATGTTGGTTTTCAGCCCCTTGGACCTATCCAGAACCTACTTTAATCCCATTTCTGTTCTTTCCCTGTATCCTTTACATTGTGAAAGGAAGGCATGTAGTAAGTGTACAAGATACAGAATGCATTTCTATCATACAACAACAACAAAATTACATTTGTAAAGTACCTTTCACGTCGGGAGGACGTCCCAAGGCACTGAACAGTCAGGGATCAGGACCCGAGCATGGGGAGCCAGGGTTGGGGTGAGGAAGGGCAGAGAGGTAGGAGGGCGGCTGAAGGCATAGTTGAAAAGGAGAGTCTTGAGTCGTGCCTTGAAGGAGGCAAGAGAGGGAGCAAGGCGAAGGGATTGTGGGATGGAGTTCCAAAGGGTGGGGCAGAGAGGCTGAAAGCCTGGCCGCTGATGATAGGGTGGATAGGACGAAAGATATGGAGCAGGCCGGAGGCTGCTGAGCAGAGGGAGCAGACAGGTTGGTAGGGGGTCAGCAGGTCAGAGATGTAGGAGGGGGCAAGGCCGTGAAGGGCCTTGAAAGTGAGGACGAGGATTTTGAATTCTGTCCTCTGAGGGATGAGGAGTCAGTGGAGCCGGGCGAGGGTGGGGGTGATGGGGTCACGGAGCCTGGTGCAGTAGAGGACACGAGCTGCAGTGTTCTGGATGATCTGCAGCTTGTGGAGGGAAGAGTTGGGGAGGCCGAGAAGGAGGGAGTTTCCATAGTCGAGCCTTGATGTGATGAATGCGTGTATGAGGGTTTCGGCAGCCTGAGGCAGTGGCGGAGTCGGACAATGTTGCGGAGGTGGGGGAGGCAGAGCGGGTTACGGCACAGATACGGGAGAGAAAGGACAGTTGAGCGTCGAACAAGAAGCTCAGGTTCCTGACTGGCTTGGTGATGTGGAGTGTGCAACCCTGGACGCTGATGCTGCCAGCGCCTCATAGATGTGAATATACAATGTGAAAGATTTGTGTTATCTCTATAGCTATAATTTACTTAAGATGGATTTAATGAATGTTTATGTAAGTGATATTTCTGCTTTGAAGTTTTGGTGAATTTTGTGCTGACCAAAAGAATGGACAAGATACCGTTTTACCTCAATCATGAATATTAATCACAACTTCAGGAAAATGCATAAAGTAAACACCACCCATCATTCTGCTCAATTTAGTACCACACTATTGGGAATTTTACACTGTGAATTTGAACCCATAAGGAAGTGTGCATTTACTTTAGGATACTGTATTTCCAGCTGCTGGGAGGGAGGATTTAAGGATTGGATTCAAACAGGAGAACATTCAATGTCCTCATCCTCTGTGACAACCAGTCCCTCCTGTATCATTCCATGGTTTGAATTTCTCATTGATTTCATTCCCAACTATGTTTCTTTTTACTATTTCACAAAATAGACATAGTAACTTTTATGGGATCAATGTGCCATGTGTTTGTTTTACATATACATTTGCAGACAGCAAGAATTGAGAAGCTTTGGTGAACACCCTTTTTCCCTGAAGGTGGTGACCCTATAAAGCACAGTATTCCTCACTCTGCTCTGGCACAACAAGCACAGCCTGACTCGAAACCTGTGACTACTTCTTTCACTGGTAAGTTTGGAGAAGCTCTTCATTGATGGAAACAATAAGTGGGCGCATTCCTCCCCAAAAGAAATCCTATTTTTTGGTTGGGGGGAAGAGGGAAGAGGTGTGTGTGTGTGTGTGTGGGGTGGGGGGGGGATAGGAGAGTGGGAAGGAAGGAATAAGGAAAGGAGAGGGTGGTCTTTTTTGGGGGTGTAGGAGTGTGGGAAGGAATAAGGAGAGGAGAGGAGAGGGGGGGTCGCTCCCCCTGTGTGTGTGTGTGGTGAAAGCGTCGGGAGGGGGTGCATTGATGATTGAAGAATGAGGGGGTTTCCTGCCTCCCCCCATCACCCCAGTCCCAGAGCCCCAGCCCCCAACCCCAGAGCCCCCCCCAGCCCCAGAGCCCCCCTCCAGCCCAGAGCCCCCCTCCAGCCCCAGAGCCCCCCCCAGCCCCAGAGCCCCCCTCCAGCCCAGAGCCCCCCCTCCAGCCCAGAGCCCCCAGAGCCCCCCCCAGCCCCCAGAGCCCCCCCTCCAGCCCAGAGCCCCCCCCCCAGCCCAGAGACCCCCCTCCAGCCCAGAGCCCCCCCCCAGCCCCAGAGCCCCCCCTCCAGCCCAGAGCCCCCCCCCAGCCCAGAGCCCCCCCCAGAGCCCCCCTCCAGCCCAGAGCCCCCCCCCAGCCCAGAGCCCCAGAGCCCCCCCCCCCCCCCAGAGCCCCAGAGCCCCATCCCCAGAGCGAAGGCAGAGCGTGCGGCGGGTAACAGCGCATTGGAAGGAGGAAGTGGAGCGGGGGGGAGAGGAGGAGGAGAGGAGAGGAGAGGAGGGAGGGAGGGAGGGAGGAGGGAGGGAGGGATGTACAGGCGCAGGGACATCAAGCGCTGCCTGCACATGGAGCAGGAACTACCGGCCTCTCTCTGCCGCCAGCGAGGGACACAGGTAGGAGCAGAGGGGATACAGCAGCCGAGGGGCAGTTTTGCTGTGACTGCAGCTGTTGTGTTGATGTGCTGTCGGGGATGCAGTTTGTTCTGCCAAAAAGGCGTAAAGTACACGAATGTGCTGTAGTTTGGGAGGAGGCACCTGTTACCTCGACTGCTGTCGCTGTCCCGAGAGAGAGAGAGAGAGAGAGAGTTCTTTACAGAAAAACATAGCAAAAGCCTGAAATCTACCCGTTTGCAAAATAAAACTTCTCTGTGTGTGTGTGTGTGTGTGTGTGTTTTGGCGGTGGAGGGGTGGGGGGGGGGGGGGAGTGGGGGTCGGAAAAGTGCAGTGAAAGTTTTAGTGCGTTTTGCAGGTGGACTTTTCTTATTCGGGCGCATGTTTGCGGAGTTGCTGTGTGCGTGTTTTTTTGCGGCTGTCAGGAGTCAGTCAGTCAGTCTGTCTGTCTGTCAATGCTATAACTTTGTTGCAGAAATTGAGACTATTCCTCGTCCCACACCCTCTCAGTCCCAGTCTAGTCTCCAGTCTGTCTCCCACCGAGTTACCATCGCACAGAGCGCGGGGGTTGGGACACAGGGAGAAAGCGGATGGAATCAGTCGGATCGCGGAATGACCCGTCTCTCCGGGTCAACTCGTGCACTTGATCCGAGTTTGGGAATGTTCTGTGGGGCAGTGAAGGAAAAAAACACACACACACACACACACACACACGCAGTGACTCGAGTTGAGCAATTTTCCATCCAAATCCACATTCTGGTGCATTGAAATGCGGAAGGTTTTGGGGGTGAAAGTCGTTTTAGAGAAGTGACTTTTGGAGACCAGTGCGTTTGCAGATCTGGTTACGGGGGCACTTTGGTGCAGTCGTCCATTTGGATCCCCCACTGCCACCGAAGTCCCACTTAAGTGCTCTCTGCACGTGTCACCGGGTACCGGTTTCTCAGACAAATCGGGAAATGCTAAACACTAAACCAATTCCCTGTTTGCTGTGTGGGGGCTCTCAGGGGTGTTGGTGGGTGTCCCCGCGCTCCCGGAGCCGTCTCAGTCCCAGTCAACCCGACTGGTCATTTCAAGGTTATTTTTTTGTTGGGGGGGATTTTTAAACCAATTCGTGAGGATTTTTTTTTGCTAAAACGCATCTTAACTTTATTTCTGACGAGAACTTGGAAACTCAGAGTCCGGTGACCCCCCCACTCTCCCCTTCCCTCCTCCCCCTCCTTCCCCCCCATCCCTGGTCTGTAACATTGGGAATGTATTGGGATTTGCAAAGATTATGAACCAAATTCGTATTCAACTATTTGCACCTTTTTTTTGGGGGGGTGGGGGGGGGGGGGGGGGGGAGAGAGGAGGGGGTGGTTTGGGAAGTAAAATAAACGATTGTTTTAATGTTTGGGATGTTTCTGTTTTGCAGTCGAGTAAGAATTGTAACGCGCTTTTGACATTCGTAACAACTGTTAAGGTTTCAGTTTGCAATTCCTCCTCCTGGTCCCCAAAATGCCACAGGACCTCTCGCAATTTGATTTGCAATTTCATAAGTTTTCGATATTAAGGATCACAGACAGACTTCCAGAGGTCAACTACTTGTAATCTGCAAAACTAGCAAAAAAAAAACTTGACTGATTCCTACCCCACCAAACCCCATCCTCCTTGTCCCTGGTGTTTGCTGTGGCTTCACTCACAGCCAGTGCTGTGTGTTACAGTAGGAGGAGAGCAGCTTCCCACTATTTGTTCCAAATCTGTGGAGCCATCTGTCAGCAAAACAGGAAGGCATGGGTTCCCTTTCTCTCCTAGGCTTGTTTCGCTATTTAGGGAGATTCACTTCTCCCTATATAGGAGGTAACTGAAAATTGGTCACCGAGACTTCTTAAAGTGAGGGACATGGTCTAAAGCTGCTGTTATGCCCATCTGCTACTGTACGAGGTGTATTCATTATTAATCGAGGCAGAGCTGGTGCTGTTCAGATATGCAGTCCTGCTTGGGTAAATGAGACATTCTTCTGTAAATTGCTTCATTTTTGATTGCTGATTGTACAAGTGTCACAAAGCTGACTCAAGGTTCATCGATGCATGCTCAGTAAATTAGAGAGAACATAACTATAGATCAACCAGAGAATGAATTCTGTGCTTCTCTTCACATACGATGACCCAGGGCCATTTAATTTTCTGCTTAATTTTGTTGCAGTCAGTTTGCATTTTTGGGTTACTATGGAGTAGTAAATTAACAATAAATAACACATTTTGTCAACCTCAGCCTGCAATGAAATTTCTATAAATCTGTGTAATCCATGAAAGATCGGGGTCTCCTTGTCAGAGAGTAATGCATGGATTTCAGGGGTATTTGCTGGAAATGAAGGAGAAAGAACATATTTTGTTCTGTAGCAGATAGTATTTAGAATAGTAAACAGTGGCAACATTATCCACCTTGTAATTTACTGCAACATTGCTTCCTCTCAATACAGAGCAGCAACAGAATATGGAAACTGAAGAGGCTCAGGACATTTCCCAACTGGCAGGTGAGACAGGTAAATATCACCTGATAGTGTCATGTAAAATTGACACGCCCCACACCTCTTATAAGACACTCTGTTATACAGCAGGGCTTAGATATTTCTGATATTTTCATGGTTTGTATTTTTTTTGCTGTTCTTTAGGAAACTAGCAGGAACAGGTATTCTGTTATAACACACACTCATCAGCTGAACTGTTAAAATAAAAGTGGAGTGTATCCAACCCAGAGGCAACTTTTATTAGGAGGAAACTGTATTCAAGGCTTGTGGTTATATATATATAAATTATCAAGGTATAAAAATTGTATGTATTGAAAAATTATTGATGGAATTAATATAGATGAGATGATTCATGATAAGTAGAGAGATTATACCACTTAGTAGAATTTTTCAATTTTTGTGTGTATGAAGTTTTGATCATCATCTTAAAATGATCTCTGTGATGTAACTTTGCCTCGACTTTGCACTATTACTGTTTTCTCATAAAAACAGTTCCGGTAAATAGGGAAAGTTACATATTTAAGAGCTATTTTTATATACAGGGTAATGTGCATTCCAATGGATAACTTTCAGTCTATTTTATTAATAGACATTTTGTCATTGTTTTGAATCGGAAACCTGCTGATTATTACATAAGAGGACGAGGATGAGCAATTCAGCTCGCCAAAGCTCATCCCTCTGCCAGAGAATCCTTTTAATTGAGGAATATTTCTCAACAATCCTAGTTATAAGATTCTCACAATTTCAGTATGAATATGCTACCATCAGTACAACAATTATGTGCCACACTTCCTTCTGCAGCCAGACCAGACACTGTACAACTCAATTTCGCTTTAGGCCATGAGCCTCGTCTATCTCATGTATACTGTTCCACATGTACACACACACACATCAGTAAAACTCTTCTAAAGCTAGTACATGTCTCATTCTTACTGTTTGCTTACGTTGACGTGACAGTTTCTGCTTTAAAACTCAAAACGCATCAATATTTGGAAACAAAATAAAGCAAGAAAATAAACACCTAATGTTTCAAATTAGTTTTAAAATTTTGGGGGATAAATTGCAAGGATTCATAGAATTACTGAGAAAAGGAGTCATGGACATTGACTGGCCCTTGCCTTCTCTCCTCAGTGGTAAAGTAATTTTTGTTCCAGTCACCCAGATCACTTCCCACGCAGCAGTTACATTTTTGTAGGTCCAGGTTCCTCCCAGCAGCTGTTTATCTTCCCATCCAGATCTTGACACCAGCTGCTCATCTCTTGGTCCCCTGCAACAATTTGCGCTAATTTCCTAGTCCAGGTCCTTTCGAGGAGTCGCTTCTACTTGAATCTACAGGGTTCACAGGAGAACCATTCCTGCAATCCACCTGCCTCGTGAGGACTCACCTTTCATTCATATCATCATGACAAATGTGAGATCTGCTCTAATACTCAAAGTAATTGATATCTGGAAGAAAAAAAAACGAAACTTAAAGGCTAGTGTAAAATGAAATAGAACTCGTTATGAAGAGAATATCAGTCTGTGACAAGGGCATGCTGTTCTATAAAGATAAATTGCAATAATTCTGACAAAACATTGTTAGGAACCATGCTGCAAAATTAACTTAAATTACTTGTTGTAAGATTCCTCATTACTTGAATAACATTGTAATTTTTCTTTTTTTCTTCCAACCCGCTCAGTATATGTTGAGGGGGGGAGAGGTAAGAAGTACTAATCACTTCCTTTGCTAATCTAGGTATGGTGCATCAATTCTTTATTAGGTAGGATTTTTTTAAAATAACATTCAAATGCTGCAGAATGGAATTTGACAAGATATTAGATAAAGAAAAATTGCTACAGTGTTTTTATTGTAATGTTCATTAGCAGTAGACATTCTGGCACACTTGATTAAAGCAATTTTGACACAAGCATAGGAACCTGTTGTGCAATTATGTATTGTACAATAATTTTTTAACTACAGTCTAGTCTATTTAAGATTCCGCAAAGGATACTCTACCTGCTTTCTTAACACATTTAGCTAGTACAAATATTTCAAAATGCAAAGCAAGAATAAAAGTGAGCATAGGAATTTTCAAACTTTGGGACCAGCTCGATAAACCTCCCTGATCCTTTCCGGTCCCTGGTGATGTGAGGTAAATTTTGGAATCTATTACAAGAATAGCACAGTTTACAGAGGAAATAGTAGATATTATTGGAAATTCAACTCTAGAAAATATTCTTGTTTGTGGTTTCTCATTATTTGCTCTTTGATGCACGGTTTCATGTCCTCTTTGTCCATGTATGGCGATCCTGAATTGCTGACATACTCAAACATGAATAGTAGTCACTAAGAGTCATAATGACAGATTATATCTAACTGAAAGGTGCTCCTTTTTCCTCTTGGACCCAAAACCCAGGCTGGCTGAACCAGTGGGAGGGCGTCGGGGGGAATCCATTCCAATGAAAAAGAATTTCTGTCTAAGTGTTGTAACAGTGCTGGTCTGAACTGCTGTACTCTGTCCAGCACCTTGGGATGTCCTCCCGATGTGAAAGGCGCTATACAAATGTAATCCTGTTGTTTTTGTAGTACCAGTATTTACTGGCTTTTTACAGTGCCGAAAAATGACAGTAAATGCAGTTACTAGTATTTTAATTGTTTGAATTAATTATTGTAAATTTTACCATGATCATATCATACATTTGGGGAAATGGTAGCTTTCCCAAGGTACTGCCTGCCTGTTCAGATGGATGTTAATGATATCATCGCACTTTTCAAAAAGAGAATGGAGTTTCTCCTAGTTTCGTGGCCAACAAACCCCAGATAAATTGGTTGCTCACTCCATGGCTGTTTGTGGGACATTGCTCTGCATAAATTGGCTGCTGTGTGACCTACAAAACATATCATCATACTACACTTTGCAATAAATCTCATGAAGCACTTTCAGACATCCTCCTTCAGGACATGAAAGGCGTTATATCAAATGCAAGGATGTTTACTGATGCCATTCTACTCTACTGCAAGATGCATTCCTGAAGTGTGTTTCTTCAGCCCCATAAAATAATATATGATATAGTAGAGGGGGGAGAGTGTATGGTAGAATGAAAAGCAATAATGCAATAGTAAAAATCATAATTCAATAACGACATTAGTTCCTCATAACCAGATTGTGAATTACTATTTGATAAATGCAGAGTGTTTTTTAACATAGGTCGAAACTCTGGAACTTCCTATCTCAATCCCTCTGCCTTGCCCCCTCTTTGCCTATTTGTCAAAGACCTTCCTGTTAAACCTTGCCTGCTATCAACTCCCCTTTCTCCGTGGCTCGGCATCAAGTTCCACTACTGTTAAGTGCTCTGAGATCCTACTCTGCGGGAAGGACATTATATGTATGTGTCACGCTATATAGAAAGATTTGGTTCACTCTCAATAACAACAACTTGCATTTATATAGTGTCCCTCATGCAGGGTAGTGTCCCATAGCGCTTGACAGTCACAGAGCCTGATGCATTATAACAACAACTTGCATTTATATAGTATTCTTCATATAAGGTAGTAAAAAGGTTTGACGCCAGCTGGAAAAGTTAATAGTTTACAGGTCTAGTCCTGCAGCGGGGTTCATTCCCCAGACTGGTCTTTTGCTCTTGCATAGTTTCCAGCTAGGAGGTGTGACTTGAGTGTGGTCTGGATAATGAAATGAGATTGTCCTCCTACCTCTAGAGAAAAGGAAATTTGGAATCCATCATATTAATGTTTCTAGCTATGTAAAGACTGCCAAGTAGAGTATATCAGAGATGAACTTTTGCTTAAAATATGAAACATTTATAGTTTTATCCATTATTAATCATGAGCTTCTGAGATCTTAGCATGTAATAATCACATTTGCTCATTTAATAATTATAATAAACTAAATTTTAAAGATATTACAAGTGATACTGAGATTACTCTAATTGGAATTTTGGTGCAACAAATGTTAAACAGTACCTTATACTGTGCCACCAATAATGTCTTAACTCTTAATTTCAGTAGTACATAAGGCCTGCACCAGTTCTAAATGACCTGTTATCCACATGAAGGATCTTCTTGGTCTGTTTGAATGAGACTGATAATTTGTGCCCAGTTAAGAGCAGTGGTGTGTTTGGGTTTAACCTGCTACTGACTGGGTTGAAATTGCACTCATTACACAGGAGACCCTTGAAATGTTTTTTAAACTTTCAGTCTGGGCTAGATTTAATCCTAGGTTTCAGAGGAAAAAGGGTTGTAACTCACTGACTCATTCAGTCCCTATCTTGCCACAGGACTGATCTGGGTTCATTATGACTATTTCTGCTTAAATTCAATCTTCAAACTGCTTAGTCAAATTGAACTAGTCAAAATATATATTGAGTCAGAAGTATAAGCGATAGTTACAAGCCACAATTTTCTTAGTTCTCAAGAGGAGTTTAAAGACTAACTGGATGATCTTCCACTTGCCACTCAAGCAATTTTGGTGAAAATCCCATTGTAAGTGTTCATCGTCGAAGGTGCTGAATTTAGTGGAATTGGAATATCAACATTTTTTTAAACTTTAGACTGCTTTAGAGCAGGGGTTCTCAAACATTGTCACAGTGAGCCTCCCTAAGACAAGAAAACAGTCTCACCAAAGTCATGCTGGATGTTAGCTCTACAGAAGTGCAGACAAAATGCATCAAGTGACTTTTGAAGATAATTCCATCCTTATCCATCTTTTTATAATTTTGTTTAAGAGTTTTGTCTGGGAACTCTGACTTCTGTTATATATTTCCAAATTGTCTATTTCAATTTACTTTTCCTTTTTTTCTTTTTTATTTGTTGTGTTAATTGTTTTACTTCCCTTTTTTATACTGTCAAAAGTTAAAATAAAATTAGTATTGGATTGAACAAAAGTTGGGCTTGAAAATGCTGCAAATCCAATTTCAATTACTCTATGAACTCTTTGCATCTGTCAAACAAATGATAGTATATAACTGAGAATTGTTTTACTCCATTTTATTCACAATACTGTAGATTTGTAATATAATATATGAAGTACGCAACAAAACATAAAGCATCATCCTTGTCACGTGTGGTCCAAACCATGCAAATTATTTATTTATTTATTCACTAGATTAGGAGTTAAGATCTTTTTGCAAATGTTCCAGATTTAAGCAAATTCAAAACTTGACTTTGTTTGTCATAAACAATAAAAAGGTAAATGTGGAGAAACAGAAATGAGTGTCCAAGTTAGCACTTAAATAGATCCTCTCTTTAAGTGCACAGTTTTGTATTTGGTTAATGAAACCATTTCCTTTTTATTTAGGGAATAAGGAAACTGTTCCTGTAAATGAACAGTCAGAAGAAGCAGAGCAGATGCCTGTTCCTGAAGATCTCTCTGCCAGTTCTGGAGGTCAGAACAATCACCAGAGTGACAGGGTCATGGGTAAGTACAAAAAGTAATAGAATGTTATTCTAGGTCTAGTTATTATACTATTCATTAGAACATATTACACATGCAGTAATAATGTAAAATTCTTTATGATCTTACAAGTGACATTTTGAACTTTGCCGAATTTCTATTATAGGATCTAATTGGAAATTTTAAAATCTTCCTTGAGTAAAGTTCTGCCACAGTATTAGCATAAAAGAGGGCTGGAAACTTTATCATGTGTTATGATGGTTTTCTGGAAGCACATTTACAATGTCAAAAATATAATTCAAAGTTTCTATTTTCTCAGCTATGTACTGTAGATGGAGACCTCTTATTTTCTCAATGAAAGTTGATATTCAGTTTTATGTGTTGCATGCAGTTTGTCAAAAATGCGTGAGAAAAAAAGTTATTTTTTCAGAGATTCAAAGTTATTGATTGACTCTTCTTTGTTACCTCCTCTCCTGAATTTTGTATCTCAATTTGGGTTAAGGTTCATGAATAGTAACAGCTCTCAGTAATCTGGTCCAAATTGCTAGTCTTCATGTGCAGACCTGGTCAGCAGGTTCTCCAAATATCCAGGTCATCGCAGCTAATTCTGTGCCTTTCCTTGACCAACATGCACATGTGAGCACTTCCTTCCAGGGGTATCCTAGTGAAAGCCAAACTGTTTTATTTTCTCACTGCCTAGCCCAGAAACTCTGAGGCCAATGGTAGTCACTATTACCCCCTTGACTAAGATAACAAAAATGAGAATTTAATTTTGCCACCTACTTTAATTCATATGGCTAAGTACCACCCCATATCCTCTGAGCTACCTAAAGCAAATTCCTGTACAGCAAAGCATTGGATTTGCGGTTTTCTTCTTTGTTTTGCCCTCGGTCTATTTTTTTATGACTTTTTTTTAAATTGGAATTTCCCTCACAAGTGAATTGTTGGAAATTTAGTATATTTCTTTTGAGAATAAAACATTTTTTGGCCTATGGAAGTCAAATCATTCTCACGTAATTCATTTCATATTGTGCTTGTTAACAAAACATAGCAAGTGACATCCCAGCATATTTTTGATCCCAAACTGGGGACAGTACTATTTTTCAGAAGAATTAGTTGATGATCATGCACTTACAGTTTGAGTCAATATGGCAGGGATTCAGAATGAGCCTGTTGTGTCAGAAGGATACCTTTTCACTAATATAAATGTTTTGCACGAGAACCAGTTTTTAATGGCTATTCAAGCAGCTAACATACATAACAAAATACAGTAGAAAGCTTGGAATTGGATATCTATTTATTGTGTTATTTAAGTGAGAATTAAAATTGTCCACAACACAGAACATGATATAAAAGTTATGGCTCCCTGGATGGTAGAGAGGAGAATCCCAGGATGTTGTCAATGTTGAAGGCTTACAAATTACTTTTGGATTTCAAAGAAATCAAACCCTCACAAAACGAAAGAGGAAACAAAATGAAGACACAAAATAACCGTCTTGTGCAGAAGATTTGGTAAAAACAATCAAATATAATCTGAGTTAAAAAGTATTTGGAAATTTTAGATCCAAAGGCATAATACATCAAGTGAATTTTGCATATTGTGGAGCAGTTTTTTATTTTGCTGTAATATAAATGTACTACAGTATATAGTTTTTAATTGTTCCAAGCAATTTAATATGATTTTTACATTGTGTTGTTTGTCTTCCTCTTTCTCCTTATGTTTCACGTTGAGTATGTTCTTTATTTGAACTCCCTATTTTTAATTACCGCTTTTTCTTTCTCGGTATTTAGCTTCTCTCAGTTTTCTTGCCTTTGACCGCTTTTCTTAAACTTTCACACGTCTTGACTTTCTGATGAATATTTTCACCCTTCATGATCATGTTTTAAATGTTGCAGTTTCACCAGTACAAACTATTTCTCAGAAATCGAACAGAGAAATGGAAATAGTCCATTACCTGTTGAACTCAGCGACTTTATAGTCCCTGTCACCATAGCTTTCAATAGACGTGGGAAAATGTGCTTTATCTAATAAAGTGGTTAAAATTAAAATGCACGTTTGATCAGATACATTATGAAGAGAGGGCCGTAGGATGATGGGGTGTTCTAGAAGGATGAAATCAAAGGGCCAAAGAGCCTTCTTCATCCAAACCTCTTTTTATGATCTTGTGAATGTGGTTTGCAGGTTATGTAAATATGACCTGTTAAATGCTGATGTGGACTTTGAAAATGTTGACTGAGAATATATATCCACTGTGGTACAAAAGCAATATTGTAGATCATTAGTGCCACACATTGGTGCATGTGGAAAGTCTTGCTAGCCCACGAGGTGGATATTGTCACCCAAAGGATGGAGTCTGGTTCTGTGTTTCCCGATAGCATTGTGTCAGTTGCTAAGATGGTAAATATCATTTTGTAATTTAATTGTCATAACATTTATACCATGTGGAATTTAGTGGGTCAATATATGAACTACGATCCTCATCCCTTTGGCAGTTTTTCAAGCTGCTGCTATCGCTTTGACACAAGACTGCAGTGGGAAAGGATCCAGTGGCCAAGACAACCTGCTGGTAGCTGTTCAGTCCTCTGTGATGAACAAAGCAGCTACAGATACCTTAAAACAGATTGAATTTAGTATTTTTTAATCCATTTAATGTGGGGCACCAGACAAATATGGTGGAATCCTTGCTCTCAGTTTCCAGCTCCCCTCACTCCATCCCAATGTCTCATTTATAGTATGTTTAGTGAAAGGCTAAAAAATTGCTGACTTCCAGATTATCAGGTCACTGCTGACATCACTTCCTCACTTCACTATGAAGAGTTGTAAGTAGAGCAACATGCCAACGTGTCAGTAGCATGCCTCTGCAACACTCATAAGTGATGTGAGAGGGGATTCCTGTGCATAACGCATGTGTGAAGTACACAGGAAGTAATATCAGCGATGACCAGATATCAGACATTATTTTGGGCAGATTGTATCACATGTCTGATTAGCGGCCTACAGGAGACCCATTAACACTGTATATTTGTGGGCGAAACATGGCAGCCAATTGCGCACATCAGGTGTCCCACAAACAGTCGTGGATAGAGTGACCAAATTACCATTATTTTATTTATTTTTTGAAGGGATTATTAGCAGAAAAGCGATCCGCCAATCGACTAATGACCGACTAACAACTTATAATGGGGTTCCTCTTTATGTGGGAAATAACTTTGTCATAAACTCACTAAAGAAGATGTAATTTCCCTTTCATCCGTATAGATTTCTCATATTTCCAAATTAAAGATCTTCAAGTAGCTGAGTCACACAGACCCAGAAGGAACAATATCTGATCAGTTAGTGGTTCATTGCTAGAAAGGTAGTAGTAGGGAGAGAAAATTCAGCCACTGTCCTAGTGACTATTCAGTGACTTGCTGTAATTTGTTTTTGTTCAGCTGAGTGTCCGACATGCAGAAACCCATCAACAACAACTTTAAAATAACAATAGACTTCATTATGTCTCAGACTAATATACAAACCAGTCTAAGAATTGCATGTATACAGCTACACTTGGAAATTCCTGTGTCTGGAATGGAAATCGCACTCTATCTCAGGAGGGACTTACCCTGTTTAGTTAATTCTGGAGGGCATTAGACATTGGTCCCAAGAGCCAAGGCTTTGGGACCCCAGAGTGTGCCTTGCTGGAGTTTAACTAGCTAAAACCATATAAAGCACTGGCGAGCTTCCCTCTGCTTGTCCACCCTTCCCGTTAGAGCTTTGGTTTGAGGGGTTAATAGGAGCTCAATGGGAATAATCGCTTTCCTTAGTAGTGACTCACTGGAAGCAGTGTTATAATAGCTGGCATTTATATAAACTCGGGGAAGCATCTCAGAGTTCTGAGCAGTGGTGTAGTTTGACAATGTAAAGATAGACCGCAGTTGAGACCAGGCTCGCTGTGGTCATAATAACTATTCTAGCAACATCATAAAGCCGGTGGCATCACAGCATCTTCATTGTTTCACTGTTGCCGTGAACTCAAAGGTAATCTGAAATATACCTGAATATACTTAGGACTGTTACGTGTAAGTACATTTTCTTGTGCGTACATGCTCATGGTGACTCGAGCACTGCTCCCACTTGTGAGGGTGACCTTATAACTCATTATTTCAGCACTCAATACCACATCTATTTTCATTGGTGGCAAGTGTTACTGCTCAGTGGTGATCTGTCATTAGAGGCAAACCTTCTCAACTGTTTCAATTGGCTGTCACAAAAGAATCCCAACCCCCTTTGTCGCAATAGCCCAACACTCCCTCTGTCATGATAGCCAATTTAATTAAAGTTGCTAGGTTACTGGGGAAGAGAATTGAATTGTGTCCTTAGTAACCTGATGCACGTGCACACAACATTTTTTTTGTTGTCAGGTAATGCAAAGGCATTTATTTCTGAACAATATAGGGTTGGTCAGAGAAACAAACGGAATGATCATGGAGGAACGAGAAGTTTGCAGAGACTTAGGAGACAAAGAGAGCGAGAATGTTACAGAGACTCAGAGAGACTGAGAGAGCAGGGGAGGCTAGCCTGAAAAGTGCTTGGGATTTCTGCAGAATAGCCAATAGAAAGCAATCTGTTTCTGTTCCACTCTGTTTGAATTTAGCCTTGGAAGAATGTGGGACATTCAACAGAATTTTATTTTTTATTTTATCTCCCAAAGTTGGTTTGAATATCTCGCCCTTTCCTAGCCACCCAGCAGGCTGATGGTTATTTACTTTCTTCAAAGTTGCAATCTGGTTTTCCTTGCTATTCCTGCTTTGTATGCAGCTGTATGTGGTCTAACCCTTTCATTCTCACTTCTTATTTGTTTTCCTAACTCTCCTGTTGATTATTCTTTACAGAAGTCCTCATATTGATCTGTGAGTCAGAGACTGAGCAACCAGCAACTAAAACATAGACTGACTCTTAACTCATCCATTCTACCTCATAGCAAATATCCCAACAAAAACTTTAAAAAACATAAAACCATTTAATCCGTATGTTTTAAATTTTGAAAAAAATTGTAAATAAAGTATACAAATTTACCGGTTCCTGGACTTGAGTAAATTTTGACTCTGTGTTTGTGTGTGTAAATGGATGAGTAACTGTGGTGCTTAAACACATACATATCCCAAACCAATGAAGATCCACATAGAGAATGGCAATTCATTCTATGACTGACGTTATGTTGAATGACATAAGATAATTTTTATTCCTAAAAATGCTTAGTATCATATCAGAAGGAATTAATTGTATAGTGGAAAACAATTAGTAATGACGATCAGTGTGGCTGTTTGCAGTCTCCCTATGTGGTTTCCATTCAATGGCTTCTGGTATCATAAGTTCTAAAAACATTCTATCTAATTGTTCTCCTTTAAGATGTCTTTTTCAGGGTTATTTTCAGAAAATGTCATTTTTTGTGTAAACTACTTTCAACTATAAACCATGCATACAGATAAAGCTCTGAACTAGTTAACAAGGTTAAATAAATTAATGCTGGGTGCTGCCATTTAACATAGTATATTTTTAATAGTGCAGTTAATGGCTTCTTCATCTCCGTGTAATTCACACCTCTTGCATTTTAAGATATTTTGCTAATTTGTATAATTTTGTAATTTTGTATATTTATCTGTTAAGGTCTCATTTTCATGTTGCTGTTTTTTTCTGTTTCTTTCTTTGAATTATCTTTGGGATTTTGAAGAGACTGAAAATTATATACATCTACAGGCAAAAATATGCACAGGTGAGCAAAATGCAACAATTGTTAATTAAATTCATTGAATCACATTTTCACCAATCTGTTTCCTTCCATTCTGCTTTTAAATCTAAGGGACAATATGTGAAACATTGCAATCATACAAATGCATTTCTTATGTGTGTTTACATTTGTGGTAAATTTTCAGGATGCAAATGCGTTCTTTTTCAAAATGTGTGGCAAAAATGTATATTTCTTATTTTTAAATCACAAGGTGTATGCGTGTGTATATATTTGGGAGAGAGTTTTGGGGGAACGTTGTACAAAAATTTAACTGAAGGATTGCAATTTTCGGAATCTCTGGTGATTATGGGACTGGGTTGTTCATATATTCGTAGAATGTTATGTTACAGAAACAGGCCATTTGATCCAATAAATTTGCGTTGGTATTTTTCTCCTTTTTTTGTTTTTGTTTGCCACATTTATTGTTTTTCAGCCACTTAATCCGATTCCAAACACCTGCTCACTTTCCATACCTTTAAACGTTTCTCTTCTTCAAGTACTAATTTCTTTAAAAAAAGATTTTGTGCACTCCTTCCGTTTGTATTTTGTACATGAGAAGCGGAAATGGCAGATGTGTTAAATAGTTTCCTCATACTACTTTTCACAAAGGAAGACTGCGGTCAAATTCCAGATCCAGCTATTTTGACACAGGAATCTATAGTACAAGTAAACATCAGTAAGTCATGTGTTCAAGCAAACTTAGGGGTCAGAATTCTGGTAGTGGTCATTGAGAGAGTACGGCCATTTTTGTTACACTAAATGTGTGCCACAGCAAATATGCCTTTCATGGCGTACTTTACTGAATGCTGTGGATTAGAAGCCAGGGCAACACCAGAAGTTACTTAGGTATATCACCAAGTCATTTAACCACATCAGCTTGTCAAGGGTGGAGTGGCCATGGCAGTCTTTGAACTGAAACATCAATTAGATTGTTTTTAAACAAAATATATATTTATTTGCTGATATATATTCATGCTTGTCTCACACAGTATCAAACCCGTTACAGGACACAACAGATCTGGCCCCTTGGGGTGGGGGGTGGCCTCTGCGCGCTCCACTTTGGTGGAGGGACCAAGGCTTCCCCACATCGGGGCTCTGCCGTCCTATGCAGGGCGCAGTTACAAATGGGGCCTTATACCCACTTCCTGTCCCTCCCCTCTTAGTGGGGAGTACAGACAGGTTCACAGCACGCAGTCTACGCTCCTAAATAAAGAGCAGTGCATCCTGCAAACAACCAAAACCTGCAAATAGCCACAGCCCCTAGCAAAGCCTGTGCAAATGCCACCCCATCCGATAAGAAAGATGATACAGATCTACAGTGATAATGGTCCATAGGTGATACCTATAAGAAAGATTAAAACTCGAGGAATTCTGTCAAATTAACTACTTGGTTGAAACTTGATTTAAACACAGGAAGCTGACAGTAATGGGTTGCATAGTTTCTTTATATCAGTCTTTATTTGTGAAAAAAATCTTCTGTCCAATAATGAGTGGAGTTCTTTAGGTATCTCTTCTGGGTCCCCTGATATTTACATTTTCCATAAACAATTTTAAGAAAGGAATGAGTCTTAGTCTGAAATTTGCTGAGGATACAAAGCTGTGTGGCCAAGTGACAAATAATGTACAAGGAAAAAAATAGCATTGAAAAAGATCTGACTCAGTTTAGAAGGTGAATATTAATGTAGATGAACAAATATTAGAATACGAAACAGTAAACATATGTACATAATGAAAGGCTGACCATCGGCAAAGGAAAATGGAAGAGGATTTTAATTACTGATTATTTAAGAAAGTTTCCTAAAAATGTGAAGCTATCAACAAAGCTAATGCACATTTCCAAGGGTTTATAACCAATCATTATAAAATTATTCCAATCTTGATTAGATTAGATGTGTCAGACCAAATTTGTAAAATGGTGTGCATTTTTTGTCATTTGGCTTCAAAAGAACTTTTAACTTGTTGGGAGAAAGCTTCAGAGAAGTGAGAAAGATCATTCTGCAACTTATGCTCTTAAGTTACTAGGAGGGACATTTGTTTTCATTGGAAAAAAAGAGGTTGAAAAGCGATGTGAATGCAGGTCTATCAAATACTGAAATAATGTAGATGTAAGCAAGGTATTTGACTCAAACTGTGTGCACTGAGCTGGAGGACACAAGCTTAAAATTAACAATCCTCAAACTAGCCTCAAACTAGACTTAAACGGATCAATTTCAAGGTATCTCCCTTGTTTTCAAATTCCTTTATACCCTCTCACCTCCCTATTTACTTACCCCCCACTCCACCACCTGCTGCCTCCCCTCGGCGAGCTCTGGCCTCCTGTTTGTCTCTCGTCCCCTCCTCTCCACCATCGGTGGCCGTGCCTTGAAACTATGCCCCAAAACTCTGGAACTCTCTCCCTCAATCCCTCCTCACCTTGCCCCCTCCCTCCCCACCTTGAAAGCAATATTGTCAAGGGGATGGGGCAGGGGGTGGTCATTAGGCCAGGGCTGATTCGTGAGGATGTCAAAATGGATGATTATTGTGGAGGTATTGCATGAGAATCTGTTGGGAAATGGATGGAATAGAATGCCTGAAAGGTTAGATTATGCATGGCCGGAGAAGGAGTGGATTTAATTGGCCAAGTTTTCTTTTTCTGGTCTATACATTCTTATGTTCTTATTTACACAGGAACACAATGATCACTATGCCTCTGAATGATGTTTTATTAGAACACTTTGTGACATTGATAGTCAGTTTCATTGCCTTTAGGCAGTTGTATTATTTTAAATCTAATTACTCAAATGTTTTCCTTGTTGTCATTTGCACCTTGGCAATTTCTTTGTTTTGAGGTGCAGGTGATACCTTTGATTTCCCTCATATGGTTACGTTTTGATTACCAGCTTGAATCCAATTAGGTTGCAAAGTTTTTTTAAAATGGGAGCAAACATCATTAATATAACTTTCATCTATTATCATTAGTAACCGCTTCCCAGTTCATTGATTGTAATTTACCATTCCAATTTTCGCAGCCCTTTGTTTATATTTTCTGCGCTAGACATTTTTTCAAAGCATCTCAAAATGTTCATAGAATACAATTTAGAAAAATACAACAATAGTTGGAGATAATAGCGAAAGGCATTTACTCATTGGGATCAATTGCAACAAACAACAATTTGCATTTATATAGCGCCCTTCATGCAGGGAAGTGTCTCAGAGCGCTTAACAGTGTCGGAGCCTGACGCTGAGCCGGGGGGGAGGAGGCTGTAAATATGGCCGAAGAGGCAGATCTTCAGGTGTGATCTTAAAATTGGGAAGGAGAGAGCAAGGCACAGGGATTGAGGGAGAGCAATCCAAAGTATCGCCGAGTAGTGGCTGAAAGCATGGCCACCAAAGGTGGAGCAGAGAGAACGTGGGACAAGCAGGAGGCCAGAGCCAGCCGAGCAGAGGTGATGGATGGTAGAATGGGGAGTAAGTAGGTCGGAGAGGTGGGGAGGTGCCAGGGCGTGAAGGGATTTATAGATGAGTGAGGATTTTGAAAGGATCTTGGAGGATCCTTTCCGTGATAAGGAGCCAGTGGAGCCTGGCAAGGATTGGTGTAATAGGGGTATGGAGTTTTGTGCGGGTGAGTATAAGGGTGGCGGAGTTTTGAATTAATTGGATTTTGTGGATAGTGCAGCTGGGGAGGCCGGCGACGAGGGCATTGGATTTGTCAAGGAAGGAGGTGACGAAAGCGTGGAGCTGTCTCACTAGGGTGGATGAGGGAGGAGAGATGCTGGAGGGGATAGCGTGATCGACTGTGTCAAACGCAGCGGAGAGGTCTAGGAGGACAAGGAGGCAAAAGGAGCCCTGGCCACAGAGAGAGAGGATGTCAGTGGTGACCTTAACGAGGTGGGAGCAAATTTGATTTAGCAAGGAAAGGCAAGTTAGAAATGGGTTGGTCATTTGTAAGGTTCAAGGGACCGTAGGTGTTTTTTTTTGAGGAGGGGAGTGATGACAGAGGTGTGAGGGGGAGCGGCTCAGAGCCTAAGGAGAGGGATTGGTTGATTGTGTCAGCCAGCAGTGGGCAGAGGAGGGGTGTTCAGTGACCACAGTTGGGTGGGGAGGAGGTCGAGGCAGCAGGTAGTGGGTTCATATGTGTGATAATGGTTGAGAGGGAAGAAAGAGAGATGGGGGCAAAGGAGTGTAGAGTGGGGGCTGTGGTAGGAGCCATGGCAGAAAAAGTGGGTGATGCAGAATGCGTTGAGGTGGGGGGGTGGACATCCTAGGGGACACCGGGGGGCGAGGCAGGCTCTTATCTTTTCGATGAAGAAGTCCAAGACCTCTTGGCACTTGGCATTAGATGTGAGGATCGAGAGTGCCAGAAGGTGTGTGCAGAGGAGGTGATGAGTGTGGGAGAACAACACTTTGGGGTTATTTTTGGCCTTCAGAATGGCCTAGGAATAGAAAGCAGTTTGGGTCGTGAGAGGAAGAGGTGGTAGGTACAAAGATGCTGGAGCCACGTCTGGCGGTGAACTATGAGGCCAGTTTTGTGCCATTTGCGCTCGAGGGTCCGGGTTTCGGATTTAAGGGAGTGGAGGTGGCTGTATACCAGGTGGAGCGGGTGAGATGGTCCTCGGTTTTGGGGGGGGGCAAGAAAATTGAAAGTTGAGGAGAGACGGTTCAGTAGCTTAATGGGATTGCTGTAGGTGGAAGGCCAGAGCAGAGAGGGCTCACGGATGAGAGGGCAATCGTGAGGAACTCGTGGGTGGGGGGGGGGGGCGAAGAGAAGCTTTTTCCAAGGGTGGAAAAAGATGGAGGGCTTGGAGGAGGGGATGATGATACGAGAAGTGAGGGAGATGAGGAAGTGGCCAGAGATGGCATTGTTGACAGATTGGAGATGGCCATATTAATGACAAGATTGAGGAGTGGCCACGGTTGTAGGTGGGGGAGTTTATGTTGAGGGTGAGGTTTAGGGTGAAGAGGAGGGCAGTGAAGTCAGAGGAGGTGGGGCAGGGGAAGTTAAGGTG